AAAAGCCAATAAAACCCTCATAAATCACACAGTTTGCACCCATGAACTAGCAATCTAGTAAAATGTTACTCTTTCCTACTTATAAATCACTTATATCTTTAAGACCGCAAATCAAGAAATACATTGAATTGATAATTTTTTTTTTCACATTTGCCCTTGTTTAATAATGGGGTATTAAAACTATATTTTATATTTTCTCTCACCTATTTATTTTACCCCTCTCTATGCATTTATTAAATTATTAGGAGTAAAATTTTAAAAAACTTATTAATTACTTTACAAGTAACATATATTTAGAAACAAACCTTTTTCCTATAAAAAAGTTATAGGGAAAACTGACTTGGCAGTCTTTATGCTCCAATCAAATTTGGAATTAGGTGCCTGTAGTTTTTTTTTTTTTCATTTTATTAGATCCTTATTATTTGCTCAGTTAGTAACTAAGGTCCTTCCGTTTATAATTGCCGTTACTTCAAGTGAACAGCGGTGATGTGGCATGACTAAGCACCATCTTACTTACCTAACCTGCAACACCTCCTCCCTCACTTTCTCTCTTCCTCCAAACCAACACCATCTCTCTCTCCACCACCATCATTTTTACTTGTTCTTGCGGAAGCTTTATCCTGTTTCGATTTCCTTCTCAGACGGCGATGCGGATCTGGGTGATGACAGTAAGAAGAGGACCACGATGTTGTGAGATTCATCGTATTCATCGGCTTCATCCTTAAATTTTTTTTTTTTGGGAAAAATTAGCACATTTGAATATACAATGGGCATTTGGATAAAAACCAAACCATAGTTTTAAAAGCGCTTTTACAGTTTACAAAGTAAATATGTAAAGAAATTTAGTTTGTTTTACATAAAAGTGCTTTTTAAAAGCACTTTTGAGGATAGCCAAGTGTTTTTAGATAAAATTAAACCATGGTTTAAAGAATAGCTTCTAAAAAATAGATTTTATGAAGGATAGATTTTGTGAAAAAATAATTTTAATAAAGTGAGAGTGTTTGGATAATGTTATCAGAAGCACTTTTTATGTGTGCAAATCACTAAAAAATGCATAAGTTAATATGATAATTACATAAAAAATAGATTTCATAATATATTTTAATTTGAAGGAATAAAATTGTTAATAACATATTTTTTACCAATATAATTAATAATATATAAGATAATGTAATTAATAAATAATTAATATGTGTATATATTAATAAAATATAAGATTAAATATGTTTATAGAAAAATACTTGAGGAGTGTTAAAGTCATATTACCATTGGCATCTACTCTAACAAACACAATCATACTCTCTAATTTGAGCCAAAAGCAGAATGGATTCACTTATTCTAAAATCATGGTTTTGAGCTCAAAACCATAGTTTTGGTCTAAAACCATGATTTGTTGATTTTTCTTTCAGTTTGACAATCCCAAAATCATAGTTTCAAATATTTGCCAAACAGACGCTTAAAGGGGTGTTTGGATGGAAACCAAACCATGGTTTTAGAAGTGATTTTACAGTATATGAAGTAAATATATGGAGGAGTTTATCTCCATTTACGAAAAAGTGCTATTTAGAAGCACTTCTCATGCCATCCAAACACCTTACAAGTCCAATAGTGAAACGTGGAAGAGGTTCTACTGCTCTCCAAAAATATAAGTTAATAAATAGAGAGAGAATACGATGATTTCGAAACATGGAGCGACACTTTTACAAGTAGAGGTAAAGATAACGTAACGGTAGCGGTAGTGAGAGAGAGAATATGCGGTGTGTGAGAGAGATGATGATGTTAGTTTGGAAGAGAACTGAGTGGAGGTGGGGAAGAGAGAAGATGAAGGCATAGGTGTGTGAAATGAAGATGATGATGGTCAGACGCTGAACAGTGCCTCATCAGTGTTGTCAACTCAAAGTAACGGCAATCATAACGGAAGGACTTTAGCTACTAACTGAGTAGAGAATAAGGATCTAATAAAATGGGAAAAAGAATTATAAGAACCTAATTCTAAATTTGATAAAAGTATAGAGACTGTCAAATTAATTTTTTGTAAGTTATAAATAGGAAGAGTGGTAAAAATAGTTTTAAAATGGGAGGTCGTGGATTCGGGCCTTAGTGCCTATATCTTTAATTTAAAAAAAAAACTAATAAATCAAAGATCAGTGAAAAAAAAAATGCTCGTAATAACGAAAGCATTCTTTATGACGGAACCGTTTCTTATGGATGATTATTTATGAGTGGCGAAACAAAATAATAAATAAAAATAACTGAGTCACATCCCTCTTTCTTCCTCTATATCTGTTTTTTATTTATTCTCTATCTTTGATTTGTTTTTTTTTGATATAATTTAGAATATTTTTAAGTCATTTTAGACTTGAAATTAATTTATGTCAAGTCGAGAGTATTGAGGTCAAAACCCTCCCAATAAATACATTTCTAATGATTTAAACTTGTATTATCTTCTTTACAAGAATAAGACTACTTACTATCTCTATCTCAACCAATGATTTGTTCATTCATCTTTAATCCTTAATATAGCTATAGCAGTCAGTTTGACTTCTACTGATTTGTTAGAGACGTAAATGCATAATTTATTTAAAATGACTTGGAGAACTGGATTGGATAAAAGCGCGCTGACTGAAACTTTTTTTCGCCACTTGACTTGGACCCCGGAGGAACACGGCAACGTGGTTGGAACGGATAAAGGAAGACTTGAGCTGACTTTGATTACTTCATTCTTATTATTTATAACAGCAATCAAGAAAAATAAAATAATCAATATTATAGAAAATAAACAAAGAAGGAAATTTGAATTTCTCTTTTAATACAAGGGACAATCTTAACAATTCAAAAGTTAGTAGGGTTCAACACACAATTTTCTATAAGAAAAAAAAATTAGGTGTCAGAAGGCCCAATAGGAACACTGCAAAAATTTGAATTTTGAAATTTTCATCTTATATGCATAACCTTTTTAACTTAACTTTTGGTATTTTTAAAATTAAAGAATAAATATGAAACATTTAATTGAAAATTAATATTTATCTTCCAACTTATGTTGGAACAAATAATGGCAACTAGCCAGCATGGTCCCCGCCGGGGGGGGGGGACCTTCGTTACTTCCCTTCAGTTCTGCATAATGCCTTGGGCGGTCCGATGGATAAAAAGAGTCTTTTAATTGACATCAGTTAAAGTATATATTTGATCCTTTACTTTTAAACAAGATTTTAATTTTTTTTTTAACTTTAAAAAGTATTATTAAATGATAATTTTTATGTCAATATTATTTTTTTATTAACTGTTTTAGGGTTAAAGAACTAAGCCATTAACATTTTATGATCTTAGATTCTAAAGTGTATTTTTTTATCTTACTTAGTTTTTTTAAAAAAAAAAAAAAAGTGATTTCCAGAGGACATTGTAGGTTAGATCCAAAAGCGCAATTTAGTATTACAGTATGTATCAGTTTTAAGTTTTATCCATGGCGATATTAACACAAATTTAGGAAGAACTGAATTAAGTTGGTTTATTATATGATTAACATTTAAGTGGATCCATGAATCTAATCTCGTTTTATAAAAATAAATTATCAATGAAATGTCATTGATATATATATATATATATATATATATATATTTATAGCCATGCTTTTATGTTTGCTCAAAGGAACACGGCAGCGTGGTTGAAACGGGTCAAGGAAGACTTGAGCTGACTTGGATTATTCCACTGATATTTATAAAATCAATCAAGGAAATAAAATAGTTAAGATGTAAATTTATCCCAAAAGTTTTCACTCAAGAGCAACAAGCACCTAGTAGTTTTTTATATTCAAATTTGTCTCAAAAATTTAAAATCATAACAATTTTTTCTCGTACCATTAAAAATATTAATGATCGTTGTTGCTATTATTTTAAATTTTTGAGATAAATTTGTGCCCAAAAAAAAATTTTAGATGCCCAGTACTTTTGAGTAAAAAATTTTGAGGTAAATTTGTACCTTAACTTTAAAAACAAAATAAACAATGTTATATAAAATTAAAAAAAAAAAGCACAAATACCCTCCTGCATGTCGAGCTTGGAGTGTTGCCTACGTTGCTTCTTTCCTCTTGCTCTATAAATTTGTAGTAGACCAAAGAGGTCACTCATCAAGCCGCAACTCAGATATATATCTTCCAACATTATTCCGTCGATAAAGTTCATATGTTCTTCCTTGCTCTTCTTTTACATTTACTCAATGAAATGATTACTTTGTTATTTCTGTTTTCTTTTTTCACTTATATGCGCAAAAAGTTAGTTACTATATGTGAATTTTTCCTTTGAAATATTCAGGCACGAGAAAGGATATATCAAATGTTATTGATACTTTGATTTAATACACGCATAAATAGTGATTCTTGGGCTGCACTGTCTGATGAAGTTTCTATAATCTGTTATCTTTTCTATAATCTGTTGAAGTTTCTTTGAATCTTCTATCTAAAAGTCTTGCTTTGAAACACAAAAATCGGTTCACTTTCTTCCATTTTAGTATTCCGCACTAATTGCCACACGGTCTGTTGAAGTTCCGCTTGTACTTTTTTCGTCTCTTTACCATTTTCCAGATGTTGATGGCTGTGTTTATACTTTGAATGATTCAGTTACTTTCTTATTGCAATGGCACTTGAAGCTCATGGAGTTGAGTATTCTTCAAGCTATTCTCGTTCATATAGGAAGCACAAGTATGATGTGTTTTTAAGTTTTCGAGGAGACGACACTCGCAAGACATTCACAGACCACTTATATGCTGCTTTGTGTGACAATGGACTGATAACTTTTAGAGACGAAGAAGAACTGGAAAGGGGAGAAGTTATCAGCCTAAGTTTGAATCAAGCAATTGAAGAATCTTTATCTGCAATTGTTGTACTCTCTAAAAGCTATGCTTCTTCCAAATGGTGTTTAGATGAGCTCCTAAAGATCCTTCATTTTAAGAAAGAGCTGGACCTTCTTGTGTTTCCAATTTTTTATGGCGTAGATCCATCTGATGTTCGGCATCAAAGAGGAGGTTTTGAAAAAGCCTTTATAAAGCATGAACAAATATTTGCACATAATGAAGTGCAAAGATGGAGGGATGCTTTAAAGGAAGTTGCAAACATAGCTGGCTGGAGCTCTCAAGATTATCGGTAATTTTACTACTTCAAAAACTTATCACGACTTTAAGTAACTTAGAACTTATTTCGGACAAGGAATTGAAATTGTTTAACTTGGGTATTGCTCTTTAAAACGATTATGATATTATTATAAGATAGGAAAATATATATATTGATCTTTATATAAGAAATAAAAACATTTAAATTAAATGCATGCTTGCACGTGCACGTCTAAATGCGGCAACAAAAAATATATTGTGCTGTGGGTGTGTGTGTCTATATATACATATATATATATATATATATATATTTATATATGTTTGTATGTATGTATGTATAATGCATCTTCACAATTCGTTCTTTCCTTTGCAAAAGTGACATCTATTTTTATATGCTGTATTTTTACTATGAATCTCGGCATTTCTCTCTTTTCAAACATGATAAATCACTACAGTAAAACCTGCGTAGAACACAATTCAAATCATCAAATGACTGGCTTTTTTTTTTTTTAGCGAAAAATGATTCTTAGATATTATTATGTTTTTTTTAACAGATATGAAACAGCACTCATTGATTTTGTTGCTGAAAAGATGATGAGGTCAAAATTAAATGATGAACTGCCGTTTGACTTAAATGATGATGAACTTGTTGGAATTGATGTAAAAATAGCAGAGTTTGAGTCAGTTCTGGCAAATATATCGGAGGAAGTTCAATTTATAGGAATATGGGGAATGGGAGGGTTAGGCAAAACTACTCTTGCGAAAATTGTTTATAAGAGAATATACAAAAACTACGAAGTTCATTTCTTTCTTCATAATGTTAGAGAGGAATCTGCAAAAGAAGGTGGTTTAATTTCATTGCAACATAAACTTCTTTATTATTCGAAAAGAAGAAATCATATGGAAGTGCGTGATTGTGACGAAGGAAAAATGCTGATAAAAAGAAGGTGGTGTAATACCAAAGTTCTACTCGTCCTTGATGATGTGAGTCTCATAAGCCAACTTGAGAATTTGGCTGGAAAGAAAGAATGGTTTGGTCAAGGGAGTAGAATAATAATAACAACTAGAGATCAGCATCTGTTAGTTGAGCATGGTGTTTCTCAATATAAGATGAATTTTTTAAGTCAAGTCGAGTCCCATCAACTTTTTCTTCAAAAAGCTTTCAAGGGAGATCAACCAAATGAACATTATTTGGAGCTTTCTAAAACTGTGATTAAATCTGCCAATGGACTTCCTTTGGCACTCAAAGTATTTGGTTCATTTCTTTGTGGAAGAAGTGAATCAGAATGGGAGGATGCACTTAGGAAGGTTCCTCCAAATGACATTTTGGAGATACTTGAAGTGAGCTTTCATGGACTAGAATATAATGAGAAGAATTTATTCTTAGATATTGCTTGCTTTTTCAATGGGATGGCAAAGGATGATGTCATACAAATCTTAGAAAGTTGTGGTCTTCACGCAAAAATTGGAATAGGAATTCTTATTGAGAAATCAATGGTAACCGAAAGTGATGGGCGTTTGAGGGTCCATGACATGCTTCAAGCAATGGGTAAGGAAATTGTTGTTCATGAATCACCAGATGATGCAGGCAAACGTAGTAGGATATGGTCCTCAGAGGATGCCATTCATGTGTTGGGAAATAAGAAGGTAAACTTCCCTCTCTCTTGTGATTGTGCATTCTTAATACGATAATTTATTCCATGCATTTCATTTTTTTTTTTTTAATACCAATTCCGTGCACTTTAGATATTATTAGCTTGATCCTACTACTTTACATACAGGGAACCGAAGCAATCCGTGGTATGGTGGTAAGATTTGACAAACCATATATCATACGTTTGGATCGTGAGGCTTTCTCAAGTATGAGCAATCTCAAGTTACTTGTCATGTCAAGTCATTCAAATTTGTCACAAGGCCAATTGAATCTTGAAGGACTTAACTGCCTTCCTAACACATTGAAAGTCATCGAATGGAAGGAGTATCCTTTAGACTTCCTACCAAGGCAAAATAAATTTCAAGAACTTGTTGATCTTAAAATGCAATACAGTACATTAAGAGAACTTTGGAGAGAAACTCAGGTAACTAATGTCCTCTGCTTAGATTTGTTTGTCTATAATATGATGCATGTATCACTAGCTTCTTGTTGGTTTTTGAAGGCTCCTTTTCCTCTTTTCAGTTTCTGCAAAGTTTGAAGTTCATTGATTTGAGTCATTCAACAAACCTGATCAGAACACCAAATTTTAATAATACTCCTAATCTTCAAAGATTAATTCTTAAAGGGTGTACAAAGCTTGTTGAAGTTCACCACTCTCTCTGGCAACACAGGAATCTTGTCATTGTTGATTTTAAAGGTTGCAAAAGTATTAAGAATCTTCCAACCAAATTGGAGATGAATTCTTTAGAGACACTAGTTCTCTGTGGTTGTTCAAAAGTTAAAAAACTTCCTGAGTTTGGTGAAGGTATGGAACGTTTATCCAAGCTTGATTTAGAGAGCACTGCTATATCCAAACTACCACAATCATTGGTCAATTTGATTGGTCTTATTATATTAAATTTAAAGGATTGCAAAAATCTGGTTTGCCTCCCAAGTGATTTTCAAAAACTGAAAGCTATAAAGATTATCAATATTTCTGGTTGCTCAAGGATTTCAAGGCTTCCGGAGAATTTGAATGAAAATGATTCATTGGAAGAGCTTGATGTTGGTGAAACTGCTATAAGAGAAGTGCCTTCATCCTTGAATAATTTAAAAGTATTATCTCTTAGGGGATGTAAGGGCCATCAAGTTCAACAAAGTCGTTCCCTTCTCAAGCTGGCATTTAGGCTTCAAAGGCCACCAAGTTCAACAAACTCTTTGTGGTCTCCTTCTTTTTCAAATCTATCATCTTTGGGCAATTTACGTCTAAGTTATTGCAATCTTCATGATGACTCACTGTCCAGCGGAATTAGCAATTTATCATCACTGAAAGTGTTGGATTTGTGTGGAAACAATTTTGTTGAATTTCCTTCTGGCCTCATTTCCAAACTTGAAGAGCTTGAATGTATTACTTTGAATGATTGCCCAAGCCTTCAGTCTTTGCCTCAAGTTCCAGCAAACCTATCAATTATAGAAGCAGTTGATTGTCCATCATTGAAACATTATGTTCGTTCCCAGCAACTATGGGAATTCATTGAGCAATTTGAATATCAGGTTTGTTTTATTTCTTTTTTACTGTTAAGTCTTTCATATTAGTCATTATAGTTCTATATCATACCATTTTTTTTCGTTACAGACTCGATGTAGACTTGAAATCTCCGGTCAAAAATGGAAATGTCACTGTTTAAGCGACTACATGTCTGCAATTATAACTTGGGATTCACAAGTTGTAAGCTATTTGAATCTCTAGTTTATTTAGTTTTCTTGTCATTCTATTTCTTACACATTAAATATTACAATTTTCATCGCAGTCTGACTTTATGCAACCGACTCGAGTATTAACTATTCCTGGTAGTGAAGTGCCACCATGGTTTCACCATCAAAACTATTCTTGTGCGGAAGATTGCCCCTATGAGTATACTCCAAAAAATGCGTCAATTAAAGTAAAAACTCCTGATTCTTGCCGTTCAGGTGAATGGTGGGGTGTGGCTGTATGCTTAGTGCTTGAAAATGATTTGGAATTTGCAAATTGCCGTGACAACGTTTATTGGACTTATAAAGTTTCTAAAGGTAAATACTCAAATTCATTCCGTTGTTGTGGCATTCATGTGCAGTCTAATTGTCGTCATCAACGATGTATCATCTACATTCGTTTTTCTTCATTTGTTGTGGAGCAACTTCAAATGGTATTCTTCACCAATAACGAAGGTCCAGAGAAGAAGTCAGCTTTTAAAATAGCACAGTGTGGGTGGCGTGTGTTGTGTAAAGAAGATGTTGAGAGATGGCAAAATACAAGAGATGAAGAATGATCAGTTCATTAGTTGAAGATGAAGGCGTTGGGATTGATGAGACTCAAATTCCTATGGCCTATAGTGATTCTTTTATTTATTATCTTAGCTTAAAGTCCATCATATTTCTCCTATATTTATAATTCAAATTTTAGGAGATATTATTTATCAGCCAGGTTAATTTTTCTTAGTATATGGTCTTTTCGTCCTCATAGGGATAAGACTATAATCGTAAATGCTATTTTTCTCAGTGAAATTTCTTGCTTGTCGTTGACCTTGAGTTTTTTATCCCCACACTGTCGGTTTTTCCTCATTAAAATTTTGTGTTCCATCTTCTATAATTTTTTTTCCAAATGTCTTGGAATGTTTGGAATAGAGCTCACAAAAAAAAAAAAGCTTCTGAAGAATAGATCTCGAAAAATAATTTTGAGTAGAATGGATTTATTGAGTGATGCCTCCTCCATATCATATATTAAAATACGTACCAAGTCATCATATATTTAGATCAGAAAAGAAGCTAGAGTGATATTTTTCTCATGTAAAGGACTTGTAGAGGGTTCATAAGAATTTTAGAACACCCTTATATGATTTTACTATAATTAGTTATGAATTTTTAAATTTGAATCAAAAAAATATAAAAGTTTCAAATAAATAGTAGCCCAAAAGATAAATGCAAATTTTAATTTATGTGCTTCAATTAACGATTTGCCATCATAGTACTTTCAACGTATGTTAAAAAAGTGTTGAAATGACATAGTATGTTAGAAGTTGGAAGAATGAAATTGCATGCCAGCAGGAGCCAATGTGAGATTCCGTATGCGTTTTCAGTGACGCCAAGAAAGAGAGAAAATGAGAAATTGAGAATATCCAACTTGCATATCATATATTACAGTACATAAACACGTGCTGCACCTGCATATCATATAATACATGAACATACCTAAAGTGAGACAGAGATAGAGAGAATATTGTATTGAAACTCTATTTTTATATTTCTTGTGAGTTTCATCACACTCTCTATCTGTGCCTCTTATTTTTGAAACACACACACAAACACACAGCACTGACATTCACATTAGTTTTATTTGGGAACCCACATAACGGTCGATCGAGAAAGGAAGTGGCACACAGGAACAGTCCCAGGCTTCACTTTTAACAATTGGAAGGACACATGTTTTGGGTTCCAAGTTGATGTGTCTTTGTGACAAACACATAAAGCTTTCATTCTGCTCCCATCAGCACCCTCCAAGGGCACTGTATAGGCAACTGTATTCTGTATTTTGTGACAGAGAAACACAGCATACGCGTAATAGAGTTTGTGGCACACCACCTGTGTTTCCCCCACCTTCTTCATTCCATGCAATATTGTGTATTCTTCTACTTGCTTTGTTTCCTCTTTCATCCCCTCTACAGACAAAGCATTCACATTTTTCCCAAGCTTCAAGGTAACAAAATCAACCATGGATTCTAAAGACGTCGCACAGTACTTTTCTTCCCCTTTGATCCCTGGATCTTCACAAATCTCAATTGTAGTCTTTATTGCCTTAGCATATACTGACCCATGTTTCGCGGCAAGCTTGTTCAATATTTCAGCCATCTGTTGGTAAAATATAAGATAATATATATGATTTGGCTATATACATCTCTTCTCAGTAGAATGAATGTGACAGTACTATATATACCTTGGTTGAAGAAAAGGGAAAGGATTTCGCAACTTGGCGAGGCAGGAAGGAGGCATGGCTGTAGATGTGCGTGAAGAGCAAGTTCATTTTATGACCGGCCTTCAAGTCCTTTTCCAAAAAGAAGACAGTCCCATTGGTGCTGTTATGGCGTGGGATCCCTTTGTCAGCGTGATCATATCTATACACCTTATACCCATTTTTTGGATAAACAACCTGGGAAATATCAGGCATTTCATCCATCCCACCGACGCCGTGGTTGTTGGTGCCACCACCTGAGTTGCCAACATACATTTACAGAGGAACTTAACCAAATGACTGCATTTATTTTATATATACATATATATGAATGTAATTTTGAAACTCATAAAAATGTTACCCATGAATCATACTAACCAGTTGGGTGGAGGAGATATTTGAGGAGTTCAGGCATGCGAGTACTGGGAAGCTTAGACTTCCAATAAATCTCTGGAGCCAAGGCAGCATCATGAGCTGCCGCCACCATCACAACCTGCTATTTCATAGAGACGCACACATTCACACCTTAGTTCCGTCTGGAAAACAAAAGGTGAGAGAGAATAGGAAAGGGAGTGGAAGCTCACAGTGAGAAAAGCAGTAATGATGGAAAAGAGTGGAAGCTTCATTGCTGCAAAACAAGTGGAGACCCATGGTGCTAAACGAGAAACCGAGGTGAATTATATAGACGCGGAGAGGGTCCCACATTGGGCTCTTGTTGTGAAATATGGGACCCAGACCTGGATATCCTGACATACAGATTTCATCATATATGAATATGCATAATGAAATACAAAGAAAAAATAAAAACTGCATACGGGCCTAATACTCGAAATTAAGGAAACATTTCTGGCCAAAAAGAAAAAAGAAATTAAGTAAACACTAAAATAATAAATAGTACGTAGTTTTGTTTGACCCAAAAAAATAAAAAGAAATGAAAAAAAAAAGTAGTAGTTGCGCATGAGATAAGGTAGTTGGGAGGAACATTGAAATAAATTATAGCTGAATTTTAAATTTTAAATGTGCATCGTTGAAACAATATTTGGATAGAATAGATTTCACCATAGTGATGAGCACCGACTTGATGTCAATGTATAAGACAATTTTGGCCAACTAATTAGTATTTTTTATTAATAACTGATCCCTTTTACTAGACTTTATTAGAGCTGGAGGTATTTCTGTTACATTTTTCGGGAGAAAATGGTGCAAGTTAGTATTGTCACGCAGTGTTTATTGCGGCACTAGAAGGTTTTTTTTTTTTTGTCTTCTTTTTTCGCAAGCATGTTTTAGGTCACTTCATTCAACAAAAGAAGAAAAAGAAAAAGGAATTTACCCAAAAAAAATGAAAAAAGTATTCATTTTATATTCGTGGTCATTACTCATTTCCAATATTCATTGCATCCATCCCCGCAACAGCCAATCGAAAGCTGCATGATTGAAGGCAGGCGGCTGCCTTCATAGCTAGTAAAGTATTGAAGAGATCGAGTACTTATCATGTAATTGACATGCTAACTTGAAATAGAATGAGAGACACATTTCTCTGTAAAATTATGAACAAGTGCTATTGGTTTGGCGGGACAGATTTAAAAAGATAAAATTCCAAAATGATGTACTGAAATTGCAAAATTTCTGTGAGATTTGAGGTTGGAAAATGAGATCTTGAAATTCAAAAATAAAGTCAGAAATGCCTCTTACTTAAAAAAAAATTCAGATAATTGCTTTGAAGTCCTAAAGCAACTTGACTGATGAAAAAGTTTTTTTGGGGGGGGAACCTTCTTGTCCTTAGTAATTTAGACAAAAAAAAAAGTGCTAAAAAAAGAGTTGCCAATGTAGATAGTGATAATTGTCAATATTGCTACTTCACTTATTATGAGCTACTGTGTCATGGAGGTTCACAGATGGCAAGCATGTCCGGAAAGCATTTATGTTGTTTTTCATATGGGGAGAAGTTTATAAATGATGAAGAAGATGGTATGCTGTATGTAAGAGCAATGAACATATAGAAAGCCACAAGTTATAAAAAGTTGAAAGAAATTATATAATCAATTTTTGAGGGAAAAAAAAGTCACTACTTTATTTTGAAATTATTAATTATATTTGATAAAAATATATTTGTAGATTTGATAAATAATACTACCTCCTGTCCTTAATATAAGACCCTATTTGACTTTATTTTGGTCCTAAATATAAGACCCCAATCAATTTTGTCTCTCATATTTATACATTTTTTTCTAAAGTAGCCCTTCTAATAATGATAGTTTTAGTCAATACATTTGATTAGCAAGGATATTTTATAAAAGACAACATCTATTTAGGACAAATAACTAACTCAACTTACTTCTTTAATCTCTTCAAATTAGTCAACTGATTTTTATAATTAGAACCGGACGTAGTAATAGGATGAAGCATTTAATAAAGTTCGGGTGTGAATGGTAGCATTAAACCCAATTTAATTTGACCCCAAAAACGGTGTCACTATTGACACCAGACGGGCAGCCCACGAAAATGGCAGCTCTGCAGACACTTATCATAGCTTGCCTTGTCTTATGTGTTGATCGCCAAATGTAGACAATTCAGATTAAAATTGTATAATCTAAATTTAATATAATTTATTTTTATATTTGTAATTTTTTGATATTTTGATGTCCACATGATCTAATTTAAAAATTATCTTTTAATTTTCATTTTTTGAAAAATAGTGTTTGTTTAAAATTATTAATTAAAAATTAAAAATTTGGCTCATTAAAGTTATATTGGGATGGTGCAAATGTCATGTACTCATGACCAGGGCTCTGTTCCTATATATAATTACTTGGAGAAGAAAAATTTGCTCTTAAATGTAAATTACTTGCAGAATAATTAATAAGTTTTTTAAAAATTTTACTCCTAGTGAATATAATAAGAAAAAAAAATATGTGAGAGAAAATCTACAGCATACCCACCTTTTTTAACACCCCTTCTTTAATTAGGATAAGTGGTATAAAAAAAAAGAAAATAAAATACAAGTCACTTATAGAAGAGAAAAGAGTGACATCACTGAAACTGCTTCGTGTCTATTTTCCATATTTTCATCCTAATTTACAACTATAATTAGCAAATTTACAGCAACACATAAGAAAAAATTTACAACAGACATAAAAGGAATTTGAACTAATGACCTCTTGGTACCCAAAAGGTTGATGGCCACCAAACTACCAAACATATTTAAACATATAATGTAAAATATACTTGTGCGTGTAACAATCTTAGATCTCTATTTTACATCTTAATTCACTTATAAACCATTATAAATTTTCTTATATTGCCGTAAATTCGTTAATTATAATTGTAAACTAAAATGAGACTATGAAAATTGAGAGTTGTAATTTTTTTATATGTTGTTCTAAATTTGTTCATTATAATTGTACATTAGAATGAAAATATGGGAAATGAGAGTAATAAATTTTCTTATTTTTTATTATAAATTTGCTAATTGTAATTGTAAATTATTCTCTGGTGGCCGCCTGCCGACATTAAGGGGCAGCCCCTCGCAATGATTGGAATTAATTAAAAATAAATAAATAAGAGCACCAGTATCTTTACATCCACAAAATTTAATTTCAGTTTAATTCTTGGGGTCCGGTAAAATTTCAATTTTTTTTCTGAGAAGGTGAAATTTTCTCAGTTAAAAAGATATTTGAATAAAATTAAAATCATAATTTTTAAAATATTTTTACATTTTACAAAATAAATATATAAAAAAACTTATTTCATTTTAAAAAATATTTTAAAAAAATATTTTTGAGTGTTTCTAAACAGCCTTTGAGTATTTTTTCAAGGCATGCTTCATGAACCGACCATAGGTACAATGTGGCAGGCTTCTCTGCTTTGCCATTTCCGTATACGTTCTGTGGGGTTCAATTTAATGCTAACAGTCACTCCTCCCTTGCACTTTCAACACGTGGCTTCATTGGAGGCATGCTTTGGCATTCGCGAAAGTGACTCACTTCTCATCTTAAACAACGAGAAAGCGACAAATGTGACAACTTGGTTTAAATTTTTGTTTGAAATGATAAATTATATATAAAAAAAATATAGTTAATTTTCAATATTACTCCGAGTCCTTGAACATAATTTTACTAAAAAATAGTACTACTTTTAGTCCTTAACATATAATTTTATTTGATTTTTATTTTAGCCCTAATATAATATTCCAATTCATTTTATCTCTAGTATTTATGTATTTTTTTTAAGATAATCATTTAATCAATAGTAGTTCTAACCAATACACTTGATTAGCAATGATATTTTAGGAAATACAACATTTATTTATGATAAATAAATAACTTAATTATTTTTTTAATCTTTTCAAATTAATTAATTAGCTCTTATAATTAGTACCAGAGGTGATAAAATGATACTACTAAAATTACATCGTTACCTCTTATATTTTTATCATTTTTTATTCATAAGCATCATCACTTAGTCACTCAAGCTGGTAAACAATCGACGGTAAGGGAGATGGATCTACTTCAATTATAAGATGGCGAGGTCGTTGTGAACTTTATATATATATATATATATATATATATATATGAAATTGCATCAAAATTGAAAAAAAATAATACTCTTCCTATTTTAATATAAGACATATTTAACTAATTTGATTAGATTAAAAAAGTTAGATGAGTTGTTAATTATAAGAAATATAACATTTTTTTTAAAATATCATAATCATCTTTATAGATATCCTTCTTCTCTCACTTATTTGATTATGGTGAGATAGTATCTATAGAAATAATTTAGAAAAAATTGATAAATATAAGAAATATATCTTATATTTGAAATCAAAATTGACTTAACAATTAAGTCTTATATTAAGAACCAAAGAAATTGATAAAATTATATCACTAAAAAATTAAGAAAAATAAAGGGTTAATATAAAATTTGATCCCTCAAATTTTCCTTCAATTTGGTTTTAACGGTTGTTTGGGATGCCAAAAAAGTGCTTCTCAAAAACACTTTTCGATAAATCGAGTTAAACTTCTTCACATATTTACTTCGTATACCGTAAAATTATTTTTAAAACTATGGTTTCGTTTCCATCTAAACACCCCCTCAATCCATCAAATTTTAAATCATAGGTTTTGATCCTTCTAGCTGCAAAATGATCTAAATTTTTATTGGATTATAGGAACTAATGTTTTAAATGAGAAAAAACTTAAGGGATCAAAATCTATAATTTGAAATTTGAAGGATTGAAACTAAAATGAGGATAAATTTAAAGGATAAAAATTATATTAATCTAAAAATAAAATTAAAAATAAAGTTTTTTGAAGAAATGTCTCTCTTCCTTTCTACTTGTATTTCAAGTCAGCATGTGAAGTACATGATTGGCACCGGATCTTTTGAATACTTTACTCGCTGCAAAGGCAGGCAATAATGCAGCTTTGATTGATTGTTACTGCAATGGATGCAATGAATCTTGGAACTGGCGACAAATTAAAAGGGCATCCCCTTTTTATTTATTTTTCGTTTTTTGGAATGAAGTGACCCAAGAAGACCCAACAAAACTAACCACCAAATCCACGTCACAGAATCACGTCATGAAATCTTGCGTCATACACATTGCGTATTGTTGAGTTGTCAT